ATGCTTTTCAATGGGAAAAATCTTTTTTTTTTTCTATTCTGACATGCTCGTGTCCGAATAAAGAAAAAAAGACACAACACTGTTTCTCTCCTTGGCGGCCGGGAGCAGGAGACTCCCGGGGCGCCAGGGAGAGTTAGCTGTTTGGAGATCAGTGTCCCTGGTTAGCAGTTAACCAGGGACGCTGATCTCTCTGAAAGTGGCTGGAGCCAGCCGTAAGATCACGGCTGGCTCCGCCCAGCTGTCAGAAGCAGGCCAGCTTCGGCTTTCAGCACGGCTAAGCCGAGCCGATGCATATGCGCTCGGCTCAGCTGAGCCGCTCGGCCATGATCGGGAGCTGTACGGGCTATTGTGAATAGCCCGTACAGCACCCCTTCGGTTCACTGAACCGAAGGGGTCCTGGGGCCGAAGCTAGCCGAAGGATCGCAGTGAAAGGGTCTTTATGGGTATAGATAACAGTGTTATAGTAAGTGTATTGCATTATGGTCACAGATCTCCAGCTCGCTCTCTCTCTCTCTCTCTCTCTCTCTCTCCCCTTTACAGTTTTCTCTTGCTACTATAATATTTGCCAAAACAGTTCATTACAGAGTTAAAATCAATACTGAATTTGAATAGCTGCAATAATTCATTGTGTTTTCAGGTTTACAACCACACATACACTTTTGATTAGAATCTATTGATCTGTGCAGTAACACAATTTTTGATGTGTCAAAGAATGCTTCAGTTATGCAGTATGGCAAATTGTTCCTTACATGTGTTATATAAAGACTTTTATTAAACACGAGTGGAAAACAAATGTTATTATTAAGTTAAGTCAAATACATCTTTAGTACTTTTATTGGGCCTTAATGAATATATCAGAATAACTTGTAATGTAAAAGTTAATTTGTTGAACTGATCATATTGATTCCTTATGATCACAACTCCAAATATTACATTTAACAAACGGAAGACTCATACCCATTTAGTAAAATACATGCTCCTTAGTAATAAATAGAAGTTAAGGCTCATACAGTTATTGGGTCTAATAAGACCAATAGAGACAGAAGGTATTTTTAGATGCATTCAGTACATCACCTACAGCTGTGGGAGCCATCGTATGCCCTCTTTTGAGGAACAAGATTGTCGGTTTTGGCTGCTGATCCCAGAGCAGAGGCTAGAGAATGGTTGAATCAATTTTAACTATTAGAGCAAGCATCCAGCTGCATCTGCAGTTGCAGAATAGAATGCCTCTAATTATATATGTTTCTGCTAGTATGAGAGTTTGCTCTCCTTTCACCCCTTTACTAAGCCTTGCCAGACACTTAGATCTGCTTTTTTTGTAACCTATAAACAATTGGTGCTTTGTTTTTAGAGTGTCTGAGGGAAGAGGCAGTATGTTTAGACTCATAGGGGTTGATTTACTAAAGACAAATAGGCTGTTCACTTTGCAGGGGAATTGCACTTTGCAGAGAAATTTCCCTTAGCTTAGTGAATGTGGTGAAATTTCACTTTGCCAAGAATTCTTAATCAAGTGCAAGGGAAAAAAAACAGTATTTTTGCTTGTATATGATTGGATGATGGAAGTCAGGAGAGCTTCACTTCATTTACTAAGCTAAAGGGAAGCTTCCTCTGCAAAATGCAAGTTCCCTTGTGACGTGAACAGCCTATTTGCCTGCAGTAAATCGACCACTTAGTCACTAGGCAAAGTTAAACCTGCGCTGAAAATATGACGCATGTGGGCAATAAACTGCGCTGAAAATAAGACGTAATATGTGCGTAATAAACATTTCAATATGGTCAATGTGGGGCAGCACAGACTTTCTAAGACATTTCTTCCCTTGGATGGAACTCAGACTCTTAGTAATTTTAATAGGTTTCCAAGGTTTGAGCTTTAAAGCACTGAAAGAAAGGTAGACTGCTCTAAGCATGTGCCCCAAGAGCCTACAGCTGATTAATGTAGGTTCAAAGTGATAGGGCTCCTGTAATAGCACCATTATTAAATTGGCAGAATTCAACACTGTTTAAAAGTCTAGATGTTTAAATTATAAATAAAATGTAGGCTTTGAAACCACACTTAATACACCTACAATTTCAATGGAAGAATATTATTTGTCATATTTTCTCTCTTTTACGAATGTTGCAAGTATCTGTTGATCTGTCAAAAATCCAGTGATCTTTTTACTTCCTGTAGTGAGCTGAAAACACTAGTGAGCTGCAATGAACTCAAGTAGTGTTGTCAGCCCTGTTTTCCCCTGCTGGACAACAGAACTATGTGGTGACATTTCCCCTTTTTCCTCATCTCCATAACCCCTCCTTGTTTACATAATTATTAATTGCCAGTGCAGAGAATGTCAACAAGGAAGAGTTATTGAGATGAGGAAAGGGGGTGGTGTCCTGTAATCCAGCAGAAGACAACTAATAGAAAGCTCTTGAGCTGTAGCATTTGTACTTGTTTGCCTCCTATAATTCTCACCAGTGTAATAGAGTTTTTCTTTGTTCCTATGTCATAAAATCCTGGTTATAAAAAAAATGTATGTGTTTTGTACTTTTTTACAGGGAAAATACAGCAAGTACAGGCTCTAAATCAAGACCAGGTATTTATTTAGCTTTTTCAACACAGAAGTCTGAAACTTTCTATTTCTTCAGAAATAACATGAAACACCATCTCTTGCTTTCTTTTCTTTAGCTTTGCTCCCTTTTGATCTTCTTCTGAAAGTTCCTTCACTGGTGTTCAGGTCTCAAACTAGGAAACTAGCGACATCTTTAGGGACAGGATGGCCTGCACACAGCTTTCCTCCTGTGGTGCGTCACAGTCTGAAACATCCTGGTATATTTTTTAGTGTACTTTCCAGTTTACATCTGTATACAGACAATCTTAATTTTCCGTACACAAAACCATGTGTATGGAATTAAAATAAATGTGGCTTATGAAAGAACCTGAATATTTAGACCTAAATTATGAGAACTACTGGCTCACCTAAAAACCTATAATTACCCCTTTATTTATACTTATCGGGTTTGTCTGAAGATGACTCATGGTACTTCGTGTCGCAGGCAAGGGGGATCCCAAGGTTTGACTGTTCCTGTCTTGCCAACTGCTGATAATCTATACTGTCTTCTAGCTCCTGAGTAACTATACAGAGCCTTGTGGTAGATTACATTCTCCTAAACTACAGGCTGTGTTATATAATACTGTTATGCACATGTAGAAGATAGCATGTGTTATCATTATGCTGTCTGGCAGTTTATAGAGCAGCAACTGGTAGTCTTCCCCTTACTTCTTGCTGTGTGTGTGTGTGTGCAAGACAGAACAGGAAGTGATTGGATCATCCCAAAGTGGGAAACAGATGGCAAAAAAATGATAGGAGTCTTTAATTATTCTCTACTTCATTCAAAAAATGTTTTGGCTTTGAAGCAAGCTTTAACTAGCCACCTTTTAGACTGCTCCTCTATTGTATCTGATTTTTTACTTTGAGAAGAAGATTTGTTTCCAGATAAGATTTATTATACTGTTATATTATAGCCTATACTGTTTCAAGAGTAAATTTATAAGGATATTCTGTCTCAGATTAGAGACAATGATGATGGTCAATCTAAATATAGCAACTTTTTCTAATGAAAACATTTAATATGTGTCTTTCTACAGTTATTTTTTCCTACAGCCTTTCTGTGGTCCATCAATTTATTTGAAGCTATTAGTAAAAATGAATCCTTTATTGTCTGAACTAATCTTGCCTGATAGCTAGCAAAGGTTTTGAATATTATACACACAAACATTGAAAACTTTTTTCCTTTTTAAAGTTGTGTAAATGCCAATTTTTTATCTCAGAAAAAAACTGTTGCCATTTAAAACTGTCTTTAATGTGCTGAGTTTAATCTGAATACTGTGTCTGTCTTCTGTTCTATGCCACAGCTTCTGCAGGCATTGCAGTATCACAGAGGAAAGTGCGACAGATCAGTGATCCTATTCAACAAATTCTAATCCAGCTGCACAAAATAATTTACATAACACAGGTATACCAATATTATATGGTTTGATGCTTGCATGAATTTATTATTATTATTATTATTACATAGTATTTATATAGCGCCAACAGTTTGCGCAGCGCTTTACAATATAAGGAAGACATAACAGTTACAATACAATTCAAGACAAGATGGTAAGGAGGGCCCTGCCCCTGAGGGCTTACAATCTAAAAGAGGAGGGGGAAATGATACATGAGGTAGCTGTGGGAATGAATTATGTGAGAATGTGAAGGTTCAGTGGTTAGGTTGCGGTGGGATAGGCTTCCCTGAAGAGATGAGTCTTTAGGGAATGCCTAAAGGCAGTCAAGGTGGGAGATAGACGGACAGGTTGGGGTAAAGAGTTCCAGAGGATGGGAGAGACTCTAGAGAAGTCCTGGAGGCGAGTATGGGAGGAGTGGACAAGGGAGCTGGAAAGCAGGATGTCAATGGATGAGCGGAGGGGACG